GCTGTGAGCTAGGTGCTGGAGGAGCATGCCTTCCTTCAAGGAGTGTGCAATCAGTAGGGCAGTCTCCACGTTACTGTGCCTCCCAGCAGTCCTGTGTGATCACATCCTGGTCCAGCAGGATGGAGGGAAGCAGGGAGACCACGCTTAGGCAGAAAAAGCAAGGAAAAAGCAGGTTTGCTGTCGTAGAGTCTGAACCCTGCTTATTTTGGTAAGCTTTCTTGTCTTTTTAATATTCTGGGTTCCATTCCCTTTCATTTCTCCTCCAGGCTTTTGGCTACAATCCTTTAAAAATTTATACCCCATCCTTGTTGAGCCAAAGCAAACAAGATAATGGAATTGGAGGTTAAGGCTGTTTGGGTCACATCCTCATAGGTGAGCTTCACCAGGCCTGGGCTTCTTCCTGTCCCCAGGATGCTGTGGCCAGAGAGCAGGTGAGGGTGTTTGGGGTACCGCACGGGGAATGGCAAGAGTAGAGAGAGGCTTAAGGCTAGGGCTGGGGCTGAAGGAGGGAGGCACAGGCTCTGGCAACCCAGGCCTTCCTGCCTACCCATTCTCCCCACGTTCTTTCTCTTGCCAGTCAAGGCAACAGGACCTGCTTTGTGGACAGGATTGGTGGTGATCACAGCTGCATCTAGGGGTATGGTGGTGCCCACATGGAGTCCCAGCTGCTCAGGAAGCTGAGGCAGGAGGATCACTGGAGCTCAGGAGTTTGAGGCTAGCTGGGCAGCAGAGCGAGACCCCATCTCAAAAAAGAAAAAGCCTGTTGGGGCCTGGGAACTGCCCCTCCAAGGACCTCTTGGAGGGTATTGACCAGGTACTGATGGGGTGGCCCTGGGAATTCCCAGAATTGGGGGAAGGGAGGTTGGAGAGTTAAGAGGGAAGAGTCCTCCGACTATAAGAGGAGCACCTTGAATACAGTTCTCCACAGTAAGGGGCTCTGCCTGGCAGAGGGGCAGAGGGTCTTGCCGTCCTGCCCCCAGTCCTGAGATTCCCTCCAGAGACTTCCAGCCGTCTCTGGTGCTCCGAACTAGGCAGTGGGAGGGCTGAACTGGCCTCCTGTAGGCCAGCTGCACCAGGGCCCTGACAGGGAAGAGGGCCGCTGGAAGGTGGTGCTTATCACCGGGGCTTCTTCTTGACTCTGCCCCATCAGGTCCTCAGCCTTGGCCTTCACCTCTCAGATGCGGTTCAGGACCCACCCCCAGGTGAGCACTCTGAGGGGGGTGGGAAGGGTAGACCTGCCCACGCACCCATGCTCTCTGGCCCAGTCGCTGCAGCACAAAGCCTCTCAGGTCTGCACCCTACATTCTTGCTCCTCCATCTCCAGTCTCTCCTTTGAACAGCCCTGCAGCCCTCAGCAGGTAAACCTGGCCTGCCTCTCTCTCCCTCCCCTCTCCATCTTACCCTTTCCCGAGTTGTCCCTCTTCTCTGGTTCCTCTCTGACCCGAAAGCCAAAGCACTCCTCTCCCCTAGTTAATCAGCCATGTAAAGAGCTGGGGCTGGGCTGAGGGATGGGGATGGGCCCTCCCCAGTTTGCCTTGCTCTCCCGCCTTCTCCTCACCCCTCCCAGGCCCAGCCCTTTCCCCTCCACTCTCTCTCCTCCATCTATTATCAAGGAAGGGCACCCAGGGGAAAGGGACTTCTGGATAAGCAAGTGGAGGAGGGGGATTGGAGGATGATGGGGGAGTGCAGGCAGCTCTGCAGATAATGATTTCGTGGGCTCCTGGGGGAGGTGCCCCGCATGAAGGTGGGAGAATGCTCCAGAGACCTGTCTCCAGATCCTCCTGATGCCTGAAGGTGGGTGGAGAGGCAGGGCAGCATGGAGAAAGGGCTGGGGACTTCCAGGGGCCAGAACCCAGAACCTAGTGGGAATCAGCCTCAGTGGTCACCAGCTGCATGACCATGGGCAGGTGAGTCTGCTTCTCCATCTGTCAGGTGCACAGGATACTCTCTACACCACAGTACCTCACACAACGTAAGCTCAATGACTGCTGCTTCCTGTCCCTGCTGTCATGGTGCTGGACCACTCACTCTGAAATCTCTCCTCTGCATCCTGGGTTCAACCCAAAAGCTAACTCTTGCATACACCTTCTCTATACCAGGCACATTCACACCTATCATGTCATGTAATCCCTATTTTATAATTGAGAAAGCTGAAACGCAGAGAGGTTAACTGTGACTAGAATTATAGTAGAAGGCAAAGCAGAACCAGAGAGCCTGACTCCAGAGCCCCGGGACACAGAGTGCCAGCGGCAGCAGGCTGCTGGAGGAGCTGAGGAAAGGTTTGCTGAGAAACTCAGCTAGGCAAGAGCTTCAAAGGGGCCTGGAGTAGGAGTAAGAGCCCAGGCATGTGCTGAGTGGTCTTGGGGAATTGTTTTTCCCTGCCTGAGCCTCCTCATTTTTTGGGGCAGAAGAATGACTAGATGCTTGGTGAGGGCATTCACCTGCCCTGAACATTCTGTTCCCCCTGCCCTGAACATTCTGTTCCCCCTGCCCCTGCAAAGGGACCCAGCATGGCACAGATAGGACAGGCTGTGGCTTAAAGCATTTCATAGGATGAAAATTGAGTCCTCCTCTTCCCCACCCTCCTTCCCTCTCCTCAAGTTCCTCACTCTTCCCCACCCCCAACCTGTCACTTGGGGCCTGTAATCAATGAGATGTAAAATGAGAAAGTATCAGGAACCAGCAAAGCATGGCCAGCAGCTGGGGCGGCCTTGCCGCCGGCTGTGATGGACTGCCAGCCCTTCGTCTCGCCAGCCTCCCACGCCCTGATGTGGGCAGCGGCATCTCACCAGCCTGGGCTGAGGCTCCCAGCTGGACAGTAGGGAGGGGGCTAGCTCTAATGAGTCCAAAAGCCTCACCTTGAAAAAGGAATGAAATCTATGGTCTTGACACGGGAAGATAAGTCTAAGCTGCATGGTTGAGTCATAAACGCAGGTTATACGATCTCACCTATAAAATGATCCCACTTCTGTTATTATGTAGAAATACTGACCCCATGCTGGGATTAGCAGGCTTCTCAGGAAGTAAGATTATAGGCGAAACATTCACTTTCTACTTTATATACTTTTCCTTTGTTGGACCCTTAAAACAAATATATATTGCTTTTATAATAAAAATAATCTGATAATAAAGATTTTCCATTTTGAGGAAGGCTCACAGAAATATGCATGGGCTATTGAAAATGCTCAATGTCCTTGCTTTGGGCTGGGATTTTATCAATATGGTGGGAAGGCCTAAAGCACTAGATCTCAAATCAAAGCAGAGTCTGATTTTTTTTTTTTTTTTTTTTTTGAGACAGAATCTCACTGTGTCATCAGGCTGGAGTGCAGTGGCACAATCTCAGCTCACGGCAACCTCTGCCTCCCAGGGTCAAGCAATTCTCCCTGTCTCGACCTCCTGAGTAGCTGGGATCATAGGCACCCATAACCATGCCCAACTAATTTTTGTATTCTTTAGTAGAGACGAGGTTTCGCCATGTTTGAGACACAGTCTCACTCTATTGCCCAGACTGAGTGCAGTGGCACAATCATGTCTCACTGCAGCCTTGACTACCTGGGCTCAAGTGATTCTCCCCGCTTAGCCTTCCAAGTAACTGAGGCTTCAGGTGCACACTACCATGCCCAGCTAATTTTTGTTATTTCTTTTTTTTTTTGAGACGGAGTTTTGCTGTTGTTACCCAGACTGGAGTGCAATGGCACGATCTCGGCTCACCGCAACCTCCGCCTCCTGGATTCAAGCAATTCTGCCTCAGCCTCCCGAGTAGCTGGGACTACAGGCGCGCACCACCATGCCCAGCTAATTTCTGTATTTTTAGTAGAGACGGGCTTTCACCTTGTTGATTAGGATTATCTCGATCTCTTGACCTCGTGATCCACCTGCCTCGGCCTCCCAAAGTGCTGGGATTATAGGCGTGAGCCACCGCGCCCAGCCTTAATTTTTGTATTTCTTGTAGAGACAGGGTTTCACCATGTTGCCCAGGCTGGTCTTGAACTCCTAGGGTCAAGTGATCTGCTTGCCTCAGCCTCCCAAAGTGCTGGCTGGGATTAAAGGCATGAGCCATCTCGCCCAGCTGATACTTTTTTTATTTTTTTAAGACAGTCTCACTGTCTCGCCCAGGCTGGAGTGCAATGGAGTGATCATAGTTCATTACAGCCTCAACCTCCTGGGCGCGGGCAATCTTTCTGCCTCAGCCTCCTGAGTAGCTGGGACTACAGGTGTGCACCAACATAACCAGGTAATTTTTAAATTATTTGTAGAGACAGGGGTTTCCCTAGGTTGCCCAGGATGGTCTTGAAGTCCTGGGCTCAAACAATCCTCCTTCCTCAGCCTCCCAAAGTGCTAGGATTACAGGCACAGGCCACTATGTGCAGCTTGAGTTTGATATTTTTAAAAGAGAAAATCAACAATCCCTTAAGGAGCCTGATTTTAAGACTTAATGTGTCTTAAATGTGATTTAATGTGCAATTCTTAAGACAAAGGGGGAATAGGTATAAAAGAGGTCCTTGGTGTTCACAGCCTAAACCTGACTCAGGATTGGCTGCTGTCAGGGTTGAGGTGTTCCTACTGCTAGACACCTTAGATGGCCTGAGAACCAAGTCTACACTAGTGCTATATGGTCCAGCCACTCTCCCTCCAAGGGACCCAGCCTCCCGTCAGCCAGCCTGAGGCCCAATGGCATGTGGGGACCTCTGGGAATGACTGACTCCCAGGGGTTCCTTGGCTCCTTGCCTTCCAGCCTTATCCTGCAACCAAGCCCAGGGCATGTGGGACTTTCCCTGAGCCAAGGACCCAGGCATGCTGTGAACCAGGGGAAAGGGAGTAAAGAGACTGGTGGCTTTTACCCTATATCTGAGGGTGGAGGGGCTAGGAAGGGACTGGAAGGGACAAGAGGTCTGTGGGAGGTCACTCCAGAGGCTGGGAAGGGACAAGAGGGATTCTGTCGTTCTCAAGTGGCCTATTCAATTTCCCCCTCTTGAGGAGTCAGCACACAGGCTGAAAGATGCAGTGAGACATGAGTTTATTGGTGGAGCTGCAGTGGAGTCCTCCCTCTTTCTGGGATAGCCAAGGGCACAGCACCAACAGAGGGATGGAGAGATAGACCCCCAAACAGACACATGGATGGAGCAGACTCATAGAGACCATAGCACAGCCACATAGGCACAGAGACACACAAGCTACAGCACCAAGAACACACACACACACACACACACACACACACACACAGACAAAACCACAGGGCTAAGACACACAGACAAAGTGCGGGCTTTGGGGCCCCTGCATAGACAGAGCGAGCGCCATGTGGGGAGGGGGCCCCTACTGACCTCCCCCAGGCATAGGCACACCAACAGCACATAGACAGGCAGATGCCCCCAGCCAGCCAGCCAGCCTGCCACACAGACAAATGGACTGCAGAAAAAGGATGTTCGTGGCTCCAGACCATGGGGAGAGGGCACTGTGGGCCTTCAACACACCCTGCCACACTGAGGCCCTGGAGACCCTGTCCCTGAACTGGTGACATCTGTTCCCCTGACTCCCACCCCACTCCCCGCCACACTTTGGTCTTGCCCACTGGGGGTGGGGCTGGGGCTGAGGCTGGGGGAACTGGCAGGTGGAAGGAAGAAGAGAGAAAGGGGCATGGGCCTGGTTTGGTCCCGTCTCTGTGATCAGGACAGCAGATGCTGAGAGTCCGGGGCTGAGCCTCGGCCTGGCAGTAGGGTGAGGGCAGGACCATGGCTCAGGCTTGGGGAGGCTCCCGGCAACGCAGGCACTGGGCCATCTCTGGCTGGTACTGCTCGACCTGCAGGGTACAGCTGGAGAATCCAAACCGGGAGTAGAGACGGGATGAGGCTTCAGCCAGGACGGCTTCAGGGTCAGCAGTGGAGTCTGTGGGAGAGTGATAAGAGGCGGCATCCATCCCGGGGGAGTCAGGAATAGGCAGGGGCTGAGATAAGGACAGGGAAAGGGGCTGCACAGCATTAAAGCCAGGCGTGAATGGGAGCCTGCTTTTCTTTCTGTATTGTATGAACGGTATAAAAATGTCAAATCAGATGTTGGAGAGACTCACCTCAATCAACGGTGCTAACACACTACACTGTTCCTAGTCTCCTATTCTCTCCTGTCACTGAGTATCCACATACAGCTCAGTGTTTCAGCAGCCATACCACCCGATTTCCCAGGACAATCCAGACGTTAAATATCTGTCTCATTGTCCCTCTAGAGTTACCATCAAATATCCCACAAATTATAATATTTTTGGCATCCAAATTGCATGTCTCTGATTGCTTCTTGCATCTGGAAGGAACCCAAAAATCCTTTGTCAGCTCATGACTCACCATATATGTTTTAAATAGTTGAATCATAATGTAGATGTAATTTTATATTAGGCTTTTTTTTTCTCAGCATTATACCATAAACATTTTTCCTAGTTGCCATAGTCTTTATAAGCATTTTTAACAGATGATACCTCAGGATGGAGGTGCCATCATTTACCTAACTGTGCCCCATCACTAAACCTGTAGGTACTAATGATCTTTCAAAGGATTGTTGGTTCCCTGTGTTACTTCAAAGAGGGTAAACCGCCCCAGAACACTGCATCCATGACTCCTTGTCTCCAGCATGCATGAGCACACACACGTGTGTGTGTGTGTGTGTGTGTGTGTGTGTGAGAGAGAGAGAGAGAGAGAGAAAGAGACAGAGACAGAGACAGAGAGACAGAGAGACAGAGAAACAGGCAGATCAAGAAGAGCTGAAACAGTCCCAGTAACTCAAGCTATTGTCCCATGTTGGAGGTGGGGTATGTTCCAGGTAGTAACTGGCTGGGGCCAGTGGGACTCACCAATGGCCAGGTGTGCAGAGGCAACGTGGTAAGTGAGCGTAAGGGCCCACAGGTGCAGCTCATGGGTTGCCCGGACGCCTGGCACTGACAGCAGTGTATCCCGCACAGGTTCGAACCCCACATTGCGGGGCGTACCTGCAACCAGCACCAGCCATGCCTTACTGCCCAGGCCACTCCTGCTCAGAAGCAGCACCCCCACCACCGGACTCCACCTCCCCTATCCTGTATCCACTCTCCTGTTGACCCCTATAATTCACCCTATGCCCAAATCTTTCTTCCAAGCAACAAACCCCATGAGCCAGGCCTTCTTCCTCTACGCTTCCAAGAAAAAAGTAGTGGCCCAGTGCAAAAGTAAAGTCAGACAGGCTCTACTTTACCCCCACACACACAGGGGTGGGGAGCAGTGGTGACCAACTCACCTTCCATGAGGATTCGAAGAACGTCTCGGAGGGTGGGAGCCGTGGATCCAAGGGCACAGATGGAGAAGAGGAAGGTGCTGATGGGGTCAGCTGCCTTGTATTGAGGCTGCAGAGAAAGAGATCCCTAAACCCAACAACCAGGGACCTTTCAGAGGAAGATCTAGGGGTATCCTGAAAAAACAGGACCTGAGAGGCCCCTCAAAACCCTGCAGAGGGGACAGGGAACATGACCCATGTCTGGGAGAGTCCTGGGAGGTGGGAGGAAGGAGCTGGAAGGAGGCTTTGGCACCTGGGAAGAAGGGGGCTAGCATGTGGAGTTGTGGGGAGGAGGCTGGGGCAGGTCTCCAACAATGGTACCTTGAAGTAGATGAGGATGGAGGCAGCCAGTACCCCAAAGCTCTGTAGGAGGTCCCCCAGCACATGCACAAATGCCGCCCTGACGCTGGTGTTCCCCAGGGGCAGGGGCTCTTCAGGCCCCTCCTCCAGCGGTGCATACTCTGCTCCCCTAGACCCGTGGCTGTGGGGAGGCCCAGCCTGGTGCAGCACAAAGGCCATTCTGAGGGGGAAGCAGAGCAGCTCAGCCCAGGGGTTTGCTCCTGCCTCCTATGCCCCTCTCTCCATGCCCCATTGTCTCACCTCCCCAGCAGCCTTTTCCCAGCCCATGGAAGAAAACAGTGTTTCAAAAGAGCAAGAACGCAGCCTAGGGGAAAGAATACTGGACTTGGTGTCACATACAGGGATTTGAACACTGGCCCTGTTACCTAAAGAGCTATGTGACTTGAGCAAGTCACCTGTCAGGATTGACTGCATGAATGGTAAACTAGGGGTAATACTACCCACCTCATGGAGTGGCTGTGTGGTTTCAGTGCAATCATGTTGATGAAAGCCCTCATCAGAGTGGCTGGCCCATGGCAGGCCCTTAACAGAGATCTGCTGGCTGAATTTTAGGTCTCTAGCCCAGACCCTTCTCTGGCACATCCAGGGCAGCCCGGGGAGAACTGTGTATGCACATGCATGTGTCTGATGGGGAGGAGAGAGCCAGCTCTCCCATCTTGGAGGAAGACCCCTTGCCCTGGGCCCCACAAGGTGCCTGCTCCATACTGGCACGTACAACAGGTTGGCACAGACTGCAATGCTGGCGGTCAGCAGCATGGCACCCCCCTCGATGTGGTAGTCGCTGTGCAGCAGGCGGACGAAGGCCAGGTACAGGAGGATGCCAGTGACCATCCAGAGGGAGACCACAGAGGCCAAAGCCCCCAGAGTCTCTGCGGGGGGAGACAAGCTGTCAGAGACCTGCTCGGGACCCTGAGAGGTGCCCTCTGGCAAGATTGGAGAGTTATCAGCCATGCAAGGGCCTTACCTGAGCGGTGCCAGCCAAAGGTCATGGTGCGGGTGGCTGGACGGGTAGAAAGCCAGAGGGAGAAGAGGCTGCCCATCATGCTACCCACGTCCGCTAGCAAGTGGGCTGCATCGGTCATGATGGCTAGGCTGTGTGCCAGATACCCGCCTGCCAGGGTGAAATGATGGAGTCTGCTTCCATTTAGAAAATATCATGTAGTGTATATTGGCATGGAAAATAAATTGAGGGATATACACCAAAAATGTGAATTGGGGTTTTCCTTTTTTTTAAGATGGGGTTTCACCATATTGGTCAGGCTGGTCTTGAACTCCCGACCTCAGGTGATCCACCCGCCTTGGCCTCCAAAGTGCTTGGATTACAGGCGTGAGCCACCACGCCTGGCCATGAATTAGGGTTTTCTCAGGTGATGGGATGATAGGCATAGTAACTACTGTTAACTACTGTTATGTACTTCCTTTCATTCATCTGTATTTTCTAATTTTTCCACAATGATAGATTTTATTTTATTAACAAGAAAATAGGGTTTTTAAAAGGAGTCAGCCCTGACCCACTGGCCCCAGACCTCATCTAGAATTCCCTTTGGTGCTCTGTTCATCACCCCTCCTACTTCCTGAGTCCTGGGCACCCAGCTCCCCTATCCCAGCCATCCCCATCTCTGCATCTGCACCCAGGAACATCCCTAGGACTCTGGGTGGAGAGTGGCTTGGGCAGGTGTTGGGAGGATGGAGTTGAGGGGCTGCTCCCCAACTTACCGACCACCTCCCCCGCCATGAAGACGAAGCACACAGCACAGGCAGCATACAGCTGTCTCCTCGCATGCAGCCTCTCAGGGGTGAGCCCCAGCGGTGGCAGGGGGTCCCTGTGGCAGTGGTGGAAGGGCATCTCCACAGGTTTGGATTCCTCAGGGACAGGCTCTGAGGGTTCTGTGAAGAGACTGAGGCAAGCGACACGGTTCAACCTGGGCCTGGCCCGCAGGCTGGCCTGCTCACTGGCCTCATCAGACCATCTCTTGCTCCTTCCCCAGGCCTGGAGGTATCTGGGAGCTATGCCAGCAGAGGGTCCCATGAGAGATGGGGGCTAAATGAACAGGTCAGACCCCAGTCTCCCTCTTCCTTCCATACACAGAGCCATAGAATTTCACAGCTGGAAAGCACCTTACAGACGGTCTAGTCTAACGTTTTTTAAGAGATGGGGTCGGCCAGGCACAGTGGCTCATGCCTGTACTCCCAGCATTTTGGGAGGCCAAGGTGGGCGGATCACAAGATCAGAAGATCAAGACCATCCTGGCCAACATGGTGAAACCCCATCTCTACTAAAAAAAAAAAATTAGCTGGGTGTGGTGGCATGTGCCTGTAATCCCAGCTACTCAGGAGGCTGAGGCAGGAGAATCACTTGAACCTGGGAGGTGGAGGTTGCAGTGAGCTGAAAGCAAGCCACTGCACTCCAGCCTGACCACAGAGCAAGACTCCATACCCCCAATGCCCCCAAAAAGGAGATGGGTTCTTGCTCTGTTGCTCAGGCTGGAGAGCAGTGGTGTGATCAGAGCTCACTGCCCACTTGAGCTCCTGGCCTCAAGGGATCCTCCCACCTCAGCCTACTGAATTGCTGGGATTACAGGCATGAGCCACTGCACCCAGCTCTAGTCCAACATTTTATTAAGTAAGTTAGAAACATGAGGCTCACAGAGTGGGGGGACACATGGAAGCCAACCCAGATAGTTGGTAGAACTAAGAATAGACCCCAACACAATCAATTTCTTATACTAGGCACCCCAAAATAAGCAGGATTCCTGTTGATCTCTGAGAGCTTCTGGTGAACAGGGTGAGTGAAGGTAGCCATTGTCATTAGAGCAGTTAAAGTGCCATCAGCGTTCTGGGGATGGAGGCCAGAAAAAATAATGAGGAAATCAGGGAAACAGCTGCAGGAGGTAATATGAGAAGGGCCTTGAAGAATGGGAAGGATTTTGATAAAGACAGGTGAATGCTAGGCCAAGGCAGTATGAAGGGAAGGTAGAATGAACTGTGGAGTGGGACTCAGCATGTGATCCTGGCCTTAGTGTGCCTCCTTTCTGGGCCCACCTCCCATAGCCTCCACTCCCAGATCCTGCCCCCTCCCTCTCTAGACATGCAGCTGAAGTGTGGCCCTTTAAGAGAGAAGTGGAATGTTGGGACCCAAAAAGTCTGATTCCTGGCACAGAGAACTGATGGCTAGATTCCAGACCTGGGGTTGTCATGGGGAGGAGGGGGTGCAGCCTGCTACATGGCAGTGGGAGGAGCATGTTAATTGGACTTCAGTCTGATTGTAAGCACCCAGCAGAGATCACCTTAACTGTATGGTACCATAAGCCTCCCTTCACAAATGTATGGGGCTTGGGGCCTCACCTGGGGATGCCAGAAGCTGAGTGAGCTCAGGCTGAGTGCTAAGTCCTTTCTGGTCCAATTCTCACCCCCGCCACTACCCAACCTGAACCCAGCAAGGACAGAATCTTCCACAGAATTCAGGACCTAAATAGAAAATACAGTACTAGAAATACTCATGGAGGTGTGACAAGAATACCCACGAGTGAAAACCATGGCTCCAGATAGAAACGTGATCATAGCTGCAAAGTGGGACTGCCAAGTGGGTGAACTGAGTTTTGAGGGAGGTAGGGAGAACATTTGGTGCTTTACTGGTAATTAATTTCTTGAATTTCCAAAGCCCCATTCAAGACTTAAAATCTGGGTGTGTATGATGCTGGGTGTGCTTCCAGAGGAGATGGGGTGGTGAAGGAGGCTGTGAAACCGATCCTCATTCGTTCAATGAGGTGTGCCGAGCAGAGCACACATAATGAAACCCGGTCTGGTGGGAGAGACAGATTGTAACAAATGGCTTACTAAGCAAGGGCAGGCTGATGCTAGGAGGGTTATGAACAAAGCACTTTGGGTGTAGGGGAGGGAGCACCTCCTCACAGGGGGCTCAGAGAACTTCACAGAGGAAGGCATGTTTAAGGAGATGAGACACAGGTGGAGAAGGGTGTTCCCACATGCAGACTGACAAAGACGAAGTGTGTGGCATGGAATCTAAGCATGAGGTGTCAGGGGAGGGCTGAGGAGGAAAGTACTGGGCGCAAAGGAACATAAAGGGAGATCCACCAACTGCTCCAAGAAATATCTCCTGAGCACTGAGATGACCTTGCTGATGGGAGGAGGAGAGGAGAGGATAGGAGAGGAGAGGAGAGGAGATGGAGTGGTCTAGAACAGACCAGGCCAGAGCTTCCCTGGAGGGGCAGGTAGGTTAGGAAACGCCTTTCAGAAAATGCTGCAGGATTTGGTGACTAATGGTCATATGAGAATGAAGATGGGCTGGAGTTGGAGATTCGAGTCTGAAGAGGAGAGGCTGGGTGGCTTTGGGGGCATTGGGCAAGATTCATTCCCCTGCCTTGTGAGGCACAGCACAGCCAGGCATCAAGGTGGCCACCCATCAACAGGCTGCTCCCTTTTGTTCTGCATAAATTGGGCACTAAGAAAGCCTGGCTGTTGGTGTGTGGGGGTGTGTGCATGTGGGGTGGCTACATGCTGTTTAGAGACGAGGAAAGGCTGTTTCCTCTCCCTGGCCCTCTGAAACCCCCAACAACCCATAATATTGAGTGGGGAAGAAAGGTGACGTAGCAGGGGCTGAAGCAAAGTCAAAAGGATACCTGAAGAGATGCCAGGCCCACGGCAGAGCCCCCACCTTGCCTCTGCAGGCCCCTGCAGGAAGAGGTCCCGCTCCCTTCTGCTCACCCCCCGCCCCCAACCCGGCTTGAAGTCCCCCACCCAAGGAAAGAGCCAGAAGCACACAGAAGCACCACGTAAGAGACAAAGGGAGAGGGACTGGGAGAGAAACAGAAAGACTGAGAGAGATGAGGGAAGAGAAAAAGCCGAAGACCCTGCCAAATTCCGGAGACAAACCGACGATCAGCCGACAGACAAGGTGGCCCGCGGGGGTGGCCAGGGAAGCCGGGCTGCCGCTCCGAGGGGCTGGCGGACGGCGGCGGCGGCGGCGGGCGTGGGGGCCGGCGGGGCGCGTTGGCGGTTCTCCCGCCGCCCCCGGCCCGCTGTCCCGGCCGCTCCACAAGCCTCATTTCACACCTCGCCGCCCCCGGCCCCGTCTGTGCGGAGCCGGGAATACCCCCGCTGCCCAGACCGCACCTGCTCCGTCCTCGCCGCCCCCTCGCTTCCTGCGGCTGCCCGCCCCTCAGGGGTCTGCAGGACCCGCGTGGAGCCCGGCCCATCCTCGGGCCCCGGCGCCAACAGCTGGCTGCGCCTGGATGGGGCGCCCGGAGTGCCGGTGCGCGGAGGGAAGCCCCGGGGCCTACAGAGGGAGCTCTGAAGTCTGGGCAGCGAGGCGGTCCCGCCCTGGGCCCAGGGCAATGCGGACCTCGGGGCACGGGCGCCGGCTCCGGCCCGACGGAGCGGCAGCCGCTCCCAGGGAAGGCAGGTGCAGCGGGGGCTTTGGAGGGGTCCGGCGGCTTGGGACGCCGGCCGCGGAGTGCGGGGCCGCTTCACCGGAGGAAATCAGGCAACAAGGAGGAGACATAGCCGGCGATGGAGGGCAGGGGTCCAGGCCTGCTGCGGCCGGGCGCTGCGTGCGGCCAGAGCGGATGAAACGGGGTGCAGCGGTGCCAAGGGACTCGCGGTGCGCGGGGATGCCAGCCAGGGTCCGCGCCGAGGGAGACAATAAAATGGACGGAGGGTAGTGGGGTGGCGCCCCCGGGCCGAGGGCCAGCCCAGGTCTGTCCTACCTCTTCAAACGCAGGCTGCCGCCGGCGCCGCCGTCCCGGGGGCTCACCAGGCGAGTGGTCTCCGAGCCCCCCGCGGCGGGAGAAGGCTCCATGTTCCCGCTGCCTCAACTGTCTAGGCCCCACCGAGAGAGGGAGAGGCGAGGCCGGCCCCGCGCCAAGTCCGAGCAGCCCGGTGACCCCCGGGCTCCCCGCAGGGCGGCGGGGCCACCAGAGTGGAGCGAACTGCAGCGACTGTGGCGCGGGGAGTCCGAACTGCAGATCCCGCTGCCGCCGGAGCCCCGCCCCGCGTGGGGCGAGCTCCCCAAGCCCCGCCTCCAGGCTCCCCGGCCTCTCCCCATGCCTAAGCCTCGCCCCCACCGCCAAAGCCCATTTCCCCGCGCCAGAGCCCGGTGGGGCCGGCGGGAGCGCCCTGCCACCCGAGTTCTGGAGAACTCCTCATCTCCACAGCCCCGTCCCCTAGGCGAGCTAGCCCCACCTCTGCACAAAGCCCCGCCCACAGGTTCCCAGCTAGCCCCTCAAGCCCAGGGACCTCATGACCAATCTTCGCCCAACGACCACCACTTAGTGCATGCCCGCACGGGAGTGTTGCCTACCGTGCCGTCACCCTGTGGCTCCAGTACTCACGCGGAGGCAGAAACAGTCGTACCCATTACCTATCTCCGGAGAACCAGAAAGAATGTGAGGTAAGCGGTGACACACAGGGAGATTCCAGGGACTCCAGAAACCCCTCTGCGGAGGATCTGGAGTCGGAATTCATGAGACAAATCTGTTTCCAATCATTGTACCTTTAATGATCATTTATTTTTATACAGAAACATTGGAGACAAGCTTCCTGCTCTCCTCCAATCCATTATTATCCCCGCTTTTCAAATGAATAAACTGAGACCCAAAGGAAGAAGTAGGCGTCCAAGGTCATGCAGGCTGTGAATAAAGGGCACGTCCTGGACACCCATCCTCTTTCTCTCCCTGGCTCCGGACGCTGCACTGGCGACTGGAGAGCGCGCACAGTCCTCTTACCGGCGGGGGAGGCCAGTGGAGCCGAGTAGCCTCGCTGGTGTCACGGCCACTGTTTATGGAGAGGGACTGAGGGGCAGCGTGTCAGCTAGTGATTCCCATCCTCCCCACACCTGCAGCGCATTACCGAATTTTGCCTCATTTGGGGGAAACTAAAACCTAGGGGAGGGAGAGACTTACAGCAAAGTCGGTGGCCGAGCCTCAAGTCGAAGCTTGAAATGCTCAATGTTCTCTCCCCTCACACCTGCCGCCACTGTAGAAGGGGAGGGGTGGGAAGAGGATTGTGCACTCGAAGCTGTGACAGTCTGTGAAGAGGAGGGTCCGTAGGAGGAGGGGAGAGAGTCAGCAGGGATAGGGAAGCGTGGAGGGTGGGAATGGTTAGTGAGCCCAGGCAAGAAACTCATCAACCGCATCTTTCAGAACACACTGGGCGTCCTGAACTTAGGGTTCTGAGGACAGACACCTACTCTCAACATTGTTATTCCAAGGAGGCTGCGAGTGCACTTGCAAAACAAAACAAACAAAACAAAAACGGGAGCATGTGCCAGATACAGTGTTGGAAGTGAGGGGGTTAACCCGGGAGAGCTTCGCGGAGGAGGTGAGGCTTAAACGGATTAGGCTGGGCGGCGGGCTGGCTGTTCCGGCGGGGGAAGAGTGTGGCTTGGCTCGTGCCAAGGTGTGCGGGAGGCGCGTGTAAATTACTGTCCTGCACGGTGGCTGCGGAGCGACACGGGAGAGCGACAGGGGCTGCAGGCGCCCTCCCTGCCCCCGCCTGCGCCAGCCTGTCCTCCGCGCCCGCCCCCGGCCTCTCCCCCAAAAGCCCAGCCCAAAGCCCATGCAGGGTGATGGGGCAAGGGAGCGAGTGGTCTTTCTCCCTCCAACCTCCTCTTAAGGCGCGGGACTTGAGAGACCCCTGTTCCTTCTTGGGTCACAGGGAGGCACACTGAGGCGGCGAGAGGGGGAAGCCACCTACCAAGGTCACCCTGCCCGGCTATTTATCAGAGCCGAGGTGGAACCCAAGTCCCTACCTGGCTATGCCAGGGCTCCGGGTACGTCCGGCCCGGCGCCGTCGGTTTTCTAAGCGCCGCACCCATCCTAGGGCTCTCCCCAATTGTGAGAGCCCTGGAGCTGGGATGCGCAGGGGCCACCGCACTCCGCGGCTCGGATGCGGTAGCCTGGCTTGTAGCTACCCGGGCGGGTGAGCTCGAGAATGGGGAGAAACTGCGGGGCTCTATGCGGGGAATGGGATTCTTGGCAAGGCTAGGCCAATGACGACAACAGGGGACAAAACAATGGCTTCCTCCGGGATTTCCCTTCCTTAGCAGCCTCAAGTTCCGGGAGGGGCGCAGACGCCCGCACGCGCCCCGCCCGCCCCCGCCGGGAGCCAGCAGGCGAGGAAGGCAGAGGCGCCTTGCAGCGCGTGGCCAAACGTGCCGCCTCCAGAAGCCGAGGGCGCTGGTGGTGGGAATACCAACCTTCACTTGAAAATTTATGTAAGGAAAGCTTGGCAGCGAAACAGGGTGCTTGCACCTGTTCCTCAAAGAGCTATCAAATGGCCCTAAGAAAATCTTTGCAAAGGGTCCTTGTGAATGTTAGGCCCCAAGAAGTCAGCCGGGTGAGGTGGCTCACATCTGCAAACCCAGCACTTTGGGAGGCTGAGGCGGGCGGATCACTTGAGGCCAAGGGTTTGAGACCCATGGTGAAACTCGTCTCTACTAAAATACAAAAATTAGCCAGGCATGGTGGTGCATGCCTCCTCATGCCAAGCTGAGGAGGCTGAGGCAGAAGAATCACTTGAACCCCTGAGGCAGAGGTTGCAGTGAGCCGAGATAGCACCTCTACACTCCAGCCTGGGCAACAGAGCAGGAGACTCCTGCTCTGTTTCAAAAAAAAAAGTCATGCTACACCTAGATAGGAGATAGGAAAATTCCCCATGGGTTGGAAAATCAGCTTAGGGCTGGTGCCCTGTATGGGCTGTAGTCTTGTAAGAAGTATTTATTCAACATTCATTCCCTGCCATGTATCCTTCTAGCTTAAATGGGGATTGGTGGTGAAAAAGACAGACACATTCCCTCCCCTCCAGACTCTAACTTGATTGCAAGAGATTTCTGCTCTCCAGTCCATCCTTCCTAATGTATCCATGTGCTCTTATAGCCTATCCTGTCCTGCCTCAGGTACCAATCTTCTGTAAGGTGAGTCATTAGGCCGCTTTCAGTCCCAAAGGCATGATGGAGACAAGAAGCCCTGGATGGTTCCCAGGAGGACAGGTCAATACCAGCTTCCAAAAGGCCTCTGGCAGAACAGGCTAAATGAAGACTGCAGGGGGACCCAGACTAGAAGTCCGTGCTGGACCAGTTCATAATGGGAGAGTAGAGCGACTCTTTGCACTGGGGTCAGGATTTAAGCTGGGCTGGAGATTTCAGGCAAAATTTAGAATGTAAGCCTGTGGACAAAAGTTAACATCTGACAAATCCAAGCCAAGGTGAAGAGCATGGACAGAAGAGGCAACCTGGAGATTAACTTCTACTCCATTCTCTGCTCAGATGTCACCTCCAGGACACCTTTCCTGAATTCTCCCAGACGGGGTGTGTGTCTCTCCCTGCTTCTCTCAAGGCTCACATTGTGCTTATCTGATCCCAGCACTCACCTCATGGTAATGAAGTCCTTTGCTTGTCTGTCTCCTTGCTAGAGGGCAAGCTCCCTGAAGGCAGGAATTGTGTCTTTCTCATCTGTGTCCCCAAGTCCCACTAATGCCTGGCACATAATCCTCAATTAAGCCATCCCAGAAAGGAGGAGCTAGTTGAATGGAAGCAGAATGGAGGAGGTAGGATTTTAGCTGGTCACAGGGAGAATGAGGGAGAGTGGCAGCTTAAATGTCACTGCCTCAGGGAGGCCTTCCCTGGCCCCCACATTAAGTTAATTCTCATGTCATACACTCTCATCGCACAATACTTTTCTGTTTTTGTTTGTTTTCTTTTTTTGAGACAGGAGCTCACTCTGCTGCTCAGGGTGGAATGCAGTGGTACCAACGTGACTCGCCACAGCTTTGACCTCCTGGACTCAAGTGATCCTCCTGCCTCAGCCTCCCAAGTAGCTGGGACTACAGGTGTGCACCACCACATCCAGCTAATTTTTTTTTTTTTTTGGCATTTTTTGTAAAGATGGGTTTCACCATGCTGGCCAGGCTGGTCTCGAACTCCTGGGCTCAAGCAATCCTCCCACCTCAGCCTCCCAAAGTGCTGGGATTACAGGTGTGAGCCGCTGTGCCTGGCCAACACACTAAATATCCTTTCAGCACTGATCATACTATAACTAAACTGTTACTTGGGATTATTTGTTTCATCATTTGGCTTCCAGGCTACCATAATCTGGTTTTCCTCCTACTTCATTGGCTGTTTATTTTCAGTCCCCTTTGCTGGTTCCTCCCCATCTTCTCAAGCTCTTAGTGCTGAATTAGCCTAGGCCTTGGTCACTCTATTCTCTTTCCACACTCACTCCCACGGAGCTATCATCCAGTTTCTGGTCTTTAAATACCATCCAATAACAGCAGACAGTAATGATGGTTTAAGCTAGATGCTGGGTACACAGAGTCATTGTACCATTCTATTTTTTTATGGTTATGAATTTTTTTTTATTTTGATAGGGAGTCTCGCACTGTCGCCCAGGCTGTAGTGCCGTGGTGTGATCTTGGCTCACTGCAATCTCCACCTCCTGGGTTCATGCAATTCTCCTGCCTCAGCCTCCTAAGTAGCTGGGACTACAGGCATGTGCCACCATGCCCAGCTATTTTTTTTTTTAATTTTTAGTAGAGACAGGGTTTTACCATGTTGGCTAGGATGGTTTCGATTTCCTGACCTCATGATCCACCCGCCTCGACCTCCCAAAGTGCTGGGATTACAGGCATGAGCTACCATGCCCATCTGGGTTTGAATTTTTCTATTAAAAAAGATTAAAAAGAGCCAGGCATGGTGGCTCACAGCTGTAATCCCAGCACTTTGGGACACTGAGGCAGGCAGATCACTTGAGGTCAGGAGTTCAAGACCAACCTGGCCAACATGGTGAAACACCGTCTCTGCCAAAAATATAAAAAATTAGCTGGGTGTGATGACACACACCTGTAACCCCAGCTACTTGGGAGGCTGAGGTAGGAGAATCACTTGAACCTTGGAGACAGAGGTTGTAGTGAGCCAAGATCATACCACTGCACTCCAGCCTGGGTGACAGAGTGAGAATCCATCTCAAAAATAAACAAATAAATAAATAATAAATGGCATCTGTATGGTGGCGAATCTCAGATCTCTCACTTGGACTCCAAACTCATGTATCC